GTTACACAATGGGCTATCCGCTCTCTGTCCACCTCGAGGAAGCGTACCACGAACTTTAGTTTTTTCAAGTTCGTAAAATTATCGCTGACCCAACCAGGGACTTTATAATATACACTTGTTGTTGTTAGTAGTATTTGTATTGTGTATGTTGCGTATGTAGTATTGTACGTTCATATACAGTTACATACACAGTGTTGTGATATAAGTTGCAAGTGTATACAGCACCTACAACCGATCATTTTCATTAAACATACCTTACAGTTACATACACAATGTTGTGATATAAGGTGCAAGTGTAAGCAACACCTACAACCGACCATTTTCATTAAACATACCTAATATCTCAAGTTTTTTACCTCAACTATATCTATAATTCTACTATGTATGTTCAGTAGGGTATAATAAATACACTGCGGTTAATTGGATGAATCAGTTTCTTTGTGTTTGGTTACAACTTCCTTCCTTCTATGATTATATTCTCATAAACTTAGAGCCTGGGGGTAAAAACGAACACACACACACACACACACATTCAGATGGGATATGACAGAATGAGGCAATTAAACAAGGGCAAGCAAATTAATAGTTTTACTTACTGATTATAAGTATTATTTTATTACTAGGTACAGCTTTTGCAGTAAGGAAGAATATTTTTACAACCTTGTAAAGAATCTTCTTTACCATTAAAACCCGTGTAATTGAGAATGATGGAAGCATGGTACCTGTTTTAAAAACACTAGCAGAAATACCCACCAGGTATAACTGCTAGTTCCTGCGGCCTTTTCTGGAATTGTCTGACAGTTCTACAACAATGTATTCATACTTGACATTCAATAATGTTTACCATCCACGAGAAAAAGGATTTTATTGACGTTTTAGTTTAAAAATGAGCTATCATCACAGCATTACATCACAGAGTAGATTTTATTGAAGTATTTCTTTGTAGACGCAGTTATCAATGAAAGTGCCTTGCTTTTCTGTTGCAACACTCGTGAGATTTTCACTAAAGAAAAACAAATAATTTTTTAAAGTTTGTTTTATATTTGAAACTTACTCCTTTTTTTTGTAATTTGTATTGGTTAAATCTGAAACATGTCATTTTTGTGGGAATTTCAGTTGTTTTATTTATTGTTCAGCTATAAAAATACTGCCTAGTTATAGAAATATGGTTATGATTGGTGATGATCGGTGCGGTAGTTTCCGAGATCCAAGTTTTGGATGTATATATCGCAAACTGCATTATAATAAGATTTTTCCTTATTGTAAAAGCTGTAACTTGTAATGAAATCAGGGTAAGCGAAGTTTAAAAATAAATGTTCTACTAAAAATAACGAAAAATGAAAGGTAAAATTTTATTTAGGGGTCTCTGTAATATACAAATAACGATAACTGAGAAACATTATCAATGTTTTCCTTGATTTTCGACGTGAAAATAACCTTAGAGCATAGTAAAATATTTGTATCAAAACTCAAATGCTAATTTCGAAATATCTGGATATGTTTAGTAACTCTGATAAGCTTTTCTTTAAAATTTAGATGTTTAACTTGCGCTGGCTGTATTTCTTGGTATTAGTATTTGAACCGCAGATAGTAAACGAAGATTTAACTGCTCATGGACTATTTTGCAAGATGTGTTCCAGTTGAATTGGATTTCCCAATGGTTGGTTAGACAGACGATTGCTCTAATCACGAGTAAGAAATTTAAGTAGTGTTAATAGTATGTTACTTCTCTTTCCGTAAACTCTATGTTAACTTTTGATTAAAGTAAACTATTCTTACAAATTAGAAACAGATGTATACACAGTAGTGAATAAAAGTTAATTAAATACACTAGTCCCACTTATAAAACCGGAAATGATTGTTTCATCAATGTAAGAAATTACGCATGGTGGTTGTTGAAAGAGAAAAACGAGGGGTACATTGTAGATTAAACCACCGAAGACTAGATGGTGTTAATTAAAGATATATATATTAACATATACGGTTGTTGCTACAACGTTTCGGGCAATGGCCTTCTTCGTGTATTTGTAGCTGAATAGTAATTCTATAAATGAAATTTTATTTCGAAGGTCACGGGACAGCATAACAACATGTATATAGACACACAGATATGTATATACACGTACGTATGTAAGTATACATAAGTACTATAAAAATAAAAATCGAAAATTTGGGAAAAGTAAGTAAATTATTAGTCGCCGCAAGTTATATAAGAAAAATAATCTGACATAAAACGTAATTAATTAAATACATACTAATAACTAATTAAACATATAAATTAAGGATTTTTTAAAAAAACAATAACTAAAAACCAACTTTTAGTTTGACTGATACACCAACTCAGTATCTTTTTTGTTGTTGTTCCTGAATAAAACTGCATTTAAATACTTTAAAATTACAAGAGAGAGCCTTTGTATTATATATATATATATATATATATATATATATATATATATAATTACGTAACTAACGTAGACTTACTTACGTTTACCTTTTTTTACTTAGTTTGTTGTTCGTTTGTTCGTCGACTACTGTGGTAGGTAG